TAAGTCAACCCTCATCAAGCACCAGAGGACACACACAGGGGAGAAGCCCTATGTTTGCAGGGAGTGTGGGCGAGGCTTTGCAGTAAACTCAGGCCTCATCGTGCACCAGAGGACACACACAGGGGAGAAGCCCTATGTTTGCAGGGAGTGTGGGCGAGGCTTTGCAGTTAAGTCAAACCTCATCAAGCACCAGAGGACACACACAGGGGAGAAGCCCTATGTTTGCAGAGAGTGTGGGCGAGGCTTTGCAGTTAAGTCAAACCTCATCATCCACCAGAGGACACACACAGGGGAGAAGCCCTATGTTTGCAGGGAGTGTGGGCGAGGCTTTGCACTTAAGTCAAGCCTCATCAAGCACCAGAGGACACACACAGGGGAGAAGCCCTATGTTTGCAGGAAGGGTAAGAAAGTCATTAGCAATAAAACCATATCTCAACAAACACAGGAAAACAAACTGTACATCCCTATACACCCCCTCTGTTATGCTTCAGAGGAAGCCTACTGACCTTTTACATTCCTCAAGAATGTAAAGTGATCAGAAATAACTGATTAAACAATTCCTCCACCTTTATGACAAGACATGAGGTTTAAACACAAAGGAGTTCCTTAAGTGTTCAGGAAATGCTCACTTGGTTCTTTCCCACACCACTCCCCTGCATGTATTTTTGGCTAACTGTTCTAATAAATTTTGTCTCCATACCAATCCAAAGCACAAGTCATGTATCTCATTCCCCCCCTTTATTGGTGAAAGCAGAAGAGTTCAGGAGTGCCTCAGGGAACTCATAATCTAAGCTCAGGTCTTCACAGAAATTCAACCCTTAGGAAGGTGTAAGCCTAGGGTCACTCCAGTTAAATTATTGGAACCTCGGGAGAGAAATATGGGATTTGAGAAAGGATTAAGAAAAGAGATTTCCTGTTCTGAAAAGTGAGGCTTCTCCCTGCTCTCTCCTTGCCATTCTCCTTCCTTGAATTCTGGCTTCTCTCCTGGTTTTCTCTAACCTCTGTAACCTCAGAGGTGAAAGCCAGACAAGGCTGTGTGTGTGTGTGTGTGTGTGTGTGTGTGTGTGTGTGTGTGTGAGTATGTGTGAAAGAGAGACAGTACATGTTGACATGGGTGTGCATGTATGTGTTATGCATGCATGGGTTCATGGGCATGTATATCAGCTTATGTGAAAGGTTTTGGGGGGCCTACACATATGTGGGTAAGCACATGTGTATAGGTGCATTTGTGTGTGCATGTATTGATATGTCTACTTGGAGGTGCAAATGGAGAATACACCCCATTCCTTCAGGGGAATCCTAGATCCTCACCCTCCTACAGAGAAACAAAAATACACAATGGAATATTATTCAGCTGTTAAGAATAATGAAGTCATGCTGTTTCCAGGAAAATGGATCAAATTACTGATCATCATGCTAAGCAAAATGAACCAGGCTCAGAAAGAAAAGTATTACATGTTCTCTCATATATGAAAAATATTTTTTTAAACTAACAGGAAAGTAGAGGGAGGAACTATTGGGTAGTAGGAAGTGGACCCATAGAAGTGAGAAGTGATAAGTATGGGTAATAAGGGGAATAAATATGATCAAAGTACTTACATACATGTATGAAAATGTCACAGTGAAATCTACTATTTTGTACAACTGATATACAGTAATGAAAACATAGAAAGTGTCTTTTAAACCAATTATAAAATACGTAAAATGATGTTGTATTTCTTATTAAAATCCACACACCGTCAAGACTCAACTCAGCTTAGGGAGGGCAGGGCCATTCTGGGGAGGGACCTTCATCCCCAGTCATGGCCCCCATTCCTGTGCTCCTGCAGGGGCTATTACCAGGCCTCCCTTTCTCACCCCAGCAGAAACAACTAGAATATGCCCAGGTTCCCTCCAAAGAAAGAGCTGAACAAGAGAAAGTATGGAGAAAAGGTCAAATGCTCTGGACATTTGGGGCATGGACCTTGCAGCCTATAAGGGACAATCAGCCATGGCCTTGGATCTGATGCTACTATTGAGGTAGATCTGGGTTCTCAGACTGTAAGGGCCCCAGGGCAGTATAATGAAGGGCCAAGACACAGAAGAAGGGATCTTGGATGCTTAGAGTCATCTCAGTTCCCCTCTCAGCCACACACCCATTCTTGACCCATCTGAGCCCCACTTCCCTTCCCTGTGATCTTTCAACTCAGCCTTTCAAGTACCACAACTACTTTCCTTGGCCCTCTTCCTAAATCAAAGGCTGTATTTGTGTTAGTCAGCTTTCTATCACTGTAAAAAATACTTTAGATAATGAAATTCTAAAGAGAAAAAAGGTATCTCAGTTTCAGAGTTTTCAGTTCATAGTCAGTTGGCCCCATATATGAGCCTGTGACAGCACAGGGTATCATGGCATGAGTGTGTGGCAAAGCAAAATAGTTCCTCATGGCCAGTAAGAAAAAGAGAAAGTAAGAGACGGGGGCCCCACAATCTCCTCCAAGGGCATGTCACCAGTGCCCCACAAACCTCCCACTCGTCCTCATCTCTTCTTCTTTCTTCTTCTCCTTCTCTTTCTTTATTCTTTCTTCTTTTTGAGTCAGAGTCTCACTATATAGCCCAGATTGGCTTTGAATTCTTGACCCTCCTATCTCAGCCTCCCACCTCACCTAGCTTGGGCTCCACCTCTTAAATTTTCTACCATTTCCCAACAACATCTAGTTAGGGACCAAGTCTTCAATGCATGGACCTCTGTGGGGTATTGAAGATTCAAACTATAGCAATATCTCTGCATGATTTCTCCCATCTTCAAATTTAGGATAGTCTTTTTGAATGTTGATATGGTTAGCAAGGTGGATTGGAGAAACAAATATGTTCAGTACAGAAATACTCAATGCATTAGTTTACTAGGGCTGACATAACAAAGTACTATTATGTGCATGGGTTAAAATATAAAAGTTCATTAGCTCACAGTCTGGAGATTAGAATTTTGAAATAAAGGTGTCAATAGGGCCCTGTTCCCCTTCAGTCCCTGGGAAGGGAACTTCCAGCTTCTGGTGGCTTATAAGCAGTCTTTGGTGTTCCTTGGCTTTTAGTACTAAGGAAGAAAATGATCCAATGGCATTTGTTAAAGCATTGTAAGGAAGACTTTATTCAGGATCACCCTGATAGGTACAGGTGTTAACAGCACGGGTTTAGTTTGTGATCTGACAACTTCCTATTCTTTGTGTCCAATGGGAAATAATCCTTCGGAGGATACGTGGGTGTAAATGAGGTTTATTAAAAACTAGGGAAAGGGAAATACAAATGGGAGCATGGTGGGACGCAGGTGGAGTCTACCAGCAGAAAGAGAGAGCTTCTCTTATTAGGTACTTTTCAAACTTAGACTAATCTATGGGAACAGAGGAACAAGGTGAATTCCATCCAATAATCAATGACTGGGGAGGGGCATGGGAGGTTCCCAGCCAGGTGCAGGGGGTCTGGGACATCCCTGGGCAACCTACATATGAGTCCTGAACTTTCCCTATATCTAGCCTGCCTCAGAGGGACCACTGCATGGGACTTTTCAAGGCAGGAGAGGGGCAGTTCACTTGATACAACATGGCTTGCTCCCTAGTGCCCTCTCCAGCTCTAATGCAGTGTGAATACATGGAGGGAGTAAGGGGCAAGAGAGAAGGAGCCATTTGGAATCAGTCCTTGAAAATTTTATGCATGTCTTATCCAACTAATATCAGAGTTTTCCTTTTAACTTTGTTGCCCAGAGTTTCTATGGTATAATATAAAATAGATGTTTGTTCTTCATCCCTAGTTGCTGACACACAGCTCCTAAAATCCTTGTAATGTCTTCTATATGGTAGTGAAATCTTTGGTGCTGTGGTCCCTAGACAGCTTCAGAATGCAGACTGGCCACAAAAAGAACAAGTATAATTACAAGATTGGGACTTTTAGCCCCAGTTCCCAACCTCTGAGGAGGGGAGAGAAGCCGGAGGTTTAGTTCAGTCATCAATGGTCAATGACTTAATCAGCCATGACCATGTAATGAGACCTCCATAGAACCCTTAAACAACAAGGTTTGGATCACTTCTGGGTTGGTCATCACATCAAGAAGGTGCTGAGAGGGTCTCCCATAGAGAGAGCATGAAGCTCTCTCACTCCAACTTTGCACTGTGCATCTTATAACACATTAGTAATCATAAGGAACTTCCCTGAGTTCTGTGAGTCATTCCAGCAAGTATGGAATCTGTATGGGGGCCATGGGAACCCTGAATTTGTAACCAAGCCAGACAGTTGTGCAGATAACTGAGGACCCATGACTTGTAACTAGTATCCAAAGTGAGTTAACCTGTGAAGTCCATGGTAATTCCAGATGATCTGTCTATTTTAGAGGTCATCTAATTGTAGGACACTTGGTGTTCCTTTCAATTTATTTCATCAGTGTTTTATAGCTTCCATTGTAGAGTCCTTTTCATCTTTTTAAATTTATTACTAAGTATTTTTGTGGCTACTGTAAATGGTATTGTTTTCTTTTTCTTTTTGCAGTACTGGGGTTTTCAACTTAGAGTCTTGTACTTGCTAAGCAAGTGCTCTATCACTTGAACCACGCCTCCAGCCCTGGGATTGTTTTCTTGATTTTTTAAAACCTAGTTTATTATTAGTGTTTTGAAAGGCTTAATGTTATTTTTCTATCCTGCAAATTCACTGAGTTTTCTTACCAGTTCCAATAATTTTGGGTGGAGTCTTTAGCTTTTTCTTTATACAAGCTCATGTATGCAAACAGGAATAGTTTGACTTCCTCTTTTCCAATTCCTATCCCTTTTTTCTTTCTCTTGCATAATTGTTCTAACTAACAGTACTGTGATGAATACAAGTAGGGACTGTGGGTATACTTGTCTTGTTCCAGATCTCCAGGTCATATATGGCCTTCACTGTATTGAGGTAGGTTCCTTCTATACATAATATGTTGAAAGTTTTTTAGCATGAAGCAATGTTGAATTTTATCAAATGCTTTTTCAGCATCCATTAGGATGATCACATATTTTTGTCCTCCATTCTGTTGTTAAGGTATATCACATTTTTTGATTTGCATATGTTGTACAATCCTTGCATCCATGGGACAAATCCCACTTGATAATGATATATAATTTTTTTCTGATTTTTTTGGCAGTACTGGGATTTGAATTAAAAGCCTCATAACTGCTAGGCAGGCACTCTACCACTTCAGCTACTTCTCCAGTCTGAAAGATAATCCTTTTAATGTAATGTTGGATTTGGTTCTGATAGTATTTTGTTGATGATTTTTACATCCATATTCATTAGGTATATTGACCTGCAGTTTTCTTCTTTTGTTTTGTCCCTCTCTAGTTTGTGTATCAAGGTAATTGGACTTATAGAATGATTTTTTTAAAAAATCCCAACCTTTCAATGTTTTGGAATAGTTTGAGATATAGCATCATCTTTAACTTCTAGATGTTAAAGCATTTCTTGTAAGGCCAGTCCAAGGGTGATGATCTGATAAAGTTTTTGCTGATTTGATAAAGATTTTATTTTTCCTCCATTTCTGAAGGGTAGATTTGTTGGGCTTGCTATTCTTGGCTGGTAGGGGGTTTTTTCTTTCAGCATTCTGAATCATTTCATCATATTTTATCATGGCATGCAAGATTTCTGCTCAGAATCTGTTGTTAATCTAATAGGTATCCTCTTTTGTGACTTGATGCTTTTTTTCTTGCTGTTTTCAGAATTCTTTTACATTTTGCCTTTTGATAGTTTAAT